TACACACACACACACACACACACGCACGCACACACACACACTCACACTGACACACACACACACACACACACACACACACAATCGTTTGGACAAACAAAACCCAATATTACTACAAATTGTGTCACAGAGCTTTAAAATGTAACGTTAACAATCTTAAATACTTACTTACTTGACTTTCTCCGTCCTCTTGTACCTCTAGGGCGTCGATGGGAGAAAGAGCTTCCTGTCTCTGGCAAGTTTTGATGGCCTGGCTGGGTGGGATATTGTATGTTCTCAGGGTATCCTTCACACCCTGGATCCAGAAGAACCTTAATTAAGTAACGTTAGTTAAGTAATACTGTTCAATATGGTAGGGTAATTGGGTGGGTATTTTACGCCTTTATCAATACTATCGAGACCGTTGTGAAAGAGGTTCTTGAAGGAAAGATGTGGGGTAGGAGAGCCAGAGGAAGGCAAAGAATAACCTGGATGGACAACAAAAAACATGGACTGGACTGGGTGTGTCAGAATTTGCAACGGCAGCTCGCGACCGTGAAGGACGGAGGGTCATTACACGTGAACCTCAAAGAGATCCGTACAGTATAAGACAAACAGACATACAGAACGTTAGGCATACGGTGATGGTGTGGTTTGCCTCTTCTTTTTTCGAGAACGAGGAAGAAGAAGAAGAAAAGCTTCTTCTTTCCTATCAAACATTATATCGTCTTTATCTCCCGTCCTTGTATTTGTGTTTGTTACTCTCTAATATTCTGCACCTATATGACCTTTTTATTGTGTTGCAAGTGGCGAAAAACACTTACTAAAACTAAATACATAGACATACGAAAGATAAATTAGATATTTTACGAACAGTTACATATCGCTCTATGTCGTTCCGTTCTGCCATTGTCATTCTGCGCTCATTATGTTTTTCAACATTCCCCAACTCATCAAGAGAGGAGAGAGTTTTTTGTTGCTCGGGGAAAATAAAGCCAGCTGTCCTCGTCAGTGCTCATCTAGAGCTCGGTAATAGAATCCCTGTGTGTGTTTGTGGAAAGTTTGATGGGGTGATGAAGCCGGGGGTGCC